TCCACCCCTCCTTCCCACACACATCCACCCTCCTTCCCCAGCACCATCCCCCCTCCTTCCCAGCACCAATCCAACACCCCCTTCCCCAGCACCATCCACCCCTCCTTCCCCAGCACCATCCACCTGTTGCTCTCCAACCTCCTATTAACCTCATCCCCACCACCATCCACCCCTCCCTTTCCCAAACCACCATCCACCCCCCCTTCCCCACCACATCCACCCCCTCCTTCCCCACCTCCATCCACCCCCCCCCTTCCCCACCACCATCCACCCCCTTCCCCACCACCATCCACGCCCTCCTTCCCCACCAACCCCCCTCCTTCCCCACCACCATCCCCCCTCCTTCCCCACCACCACCATCCCTCCTTCCCCCACCACCATCCACCGCCTTCTTTCACCACCTCCCCCTTCAACACCACCATCACCCCTCCTTTCCCCACACCATCCACCCCCTCCTTCCCCACCACCATCCCCCCTCCTTCCCCCACCACCACCCCACCTTCCCCATCCACCATCCACCCCTCCTACCCCACCTCCATCCACCCCTCCTTCCCCACCTCCATCCATCCCTCCTTTCCCCCCCCCTTCAACATCACCATCCACCCTCCTTCCCCACCACCATCCACCTCCTTCCCCCATCCACCCCCCCCCTTCCCCGCCACCATCCTCCCCCCTTCCCCATCACCCCTCTCCCCCATGGCCTCACTTGTACCAACATGACTCACGAAATAGCAACATGAGTGTAAACAGCAGAACCAGCAGGGGTCTGATCCCGAGCCACAACAAGTGTCGCTGCAGCTCATGTCTCACTAACAGTCACCTGACGTCATCGTTCACTGATAACAAGTAACAACTACAAGTTAAAAATGACCAAATTTAAACACAATGTAATAAAAGACAGGCCAGAGGAGAGTCAACTCACGAGTCAGGAGAGTGAAGGTGTAGTGGTCAGCTCACCAGGTCAGTCATGAAAGTCAAGAAGATAAATTAAAACTACCACGTCACCAGGCCAGACGTGCCAGTCAGGTTAGGAATCTCAGTCATAGATGGCGCTGACTTCCCAGTTCCACCAAACTAATGATGAGTCGAAATATGCTGATAAAAATATATAATAATAATATCTTTATTTCTACAAGTACATGTTGAGGTGTATAATCCTACGGGTTTAGCGCTTCCCATGATAATAATAATAATAATAATAATAATAATAATAATAATAATAATAATAATAATAATGATAATAATAATACCAGTACATGTACAAGGTATACAGACCATAGCTGACATCAATAACATACTACTATATAGAAAGCCGCTTGTTATTACCTGGAGTTTACCTGGAGAGGGTTGCGGGGGTCAACGCCCCCGCGGCTCGGTCTGAGACCAGGCCTCGTGGTGGATCAGGGTCTGATCATCCAGGCTGTTACTGCTGGTCGCACGCAAACTGACGTACAAACCACAGCCCGGTTGGTCAGGTACTGACTTTAGGTGCCTGTCCAGTGCCTTCTTGAAGACAGCCAGGGAGGCAGTTGAACAGTCTTGGACCCCGGACACTTATTGTGTTGTCTTTCAGTGTACTCGTGGCCCCCCTGCTTTTCATTGGGGAAATGTTGCATCGCCTGCCGAGTCTCTTGCTATCATAGGGAGTGATTTTCGTGTGCAAGTTCGGTACTAATCCCTCTAGGATTTTCCAAGTGTAGGGAATAGAGATCAAGGACCTTCAACCGTTCCTAGTAATTTAGGTGCCTTATCGTGCTTGTGTGTGCCGTGAAAATTGAGCATCTCGGCCAAATTATGTCAGCTTTGTCCCAGGATGCGACCCACACCAGTCGACTAACACCCAGGTACCCATTATTACTGATGGGTGAACATGGACAACAGGTGTAAGAAAACACGCCCAGTGTTTCTACCTTAGCCGGGAATCTACCTCGGACACTCACCATGTGAAGAGAGAGCTTTTGCCACCAGGTCACGGAGCTAAATCTAACAACCACACACACGCATATTCACGTGTATGCACAATACCTCATAAAAGAGGTTTTTTGCCCCCGTCAAACAAATCACGAGGTCGGTGTCTTCACCAATAAGGAAACAGTCTCTTGAAGCCTCTGGATTTGGAATTCAGTAAATCCAACGTTAAAGACAATTTCTCAAAAAAGGCAGCCAGGCTGTGGCTCATGTATTGGATTTGCATGTGCCGCAGTACACCTAGTTCATCAGGCCTAGATCTATCAAGAGGCCTGGTCATGGACCGGGATACTGGGACTTTGATCCCCGGAACACCCTCCAGGTATACTCCAGGTGGCCACTTCCACAGGTCGTGCATCACCCGCTACTGGAGGAGAAGGCTGGGCAGTACGCTTGGGAAGTACTCAGACATCTTTCTAATTTCATCTCAGGTCTGTCCAGGGGTGAATATTGTAGTAACAGCAGCGGTAGGTCAGTTGTTGACCAGTATATAAAGTATGGAGAACAAAAACACTGGAACAATACACAAATAACCCGCACATAGGAGGAGCTTATAACGACGTTTCGGTCCGACTTGGACCATTAACTAGTCTTACACAAGTGCGAAGGGAAGGGAACTAGTATATATACGAGAGGGGGAGGAACCGGGAGTAGTAGAACCAGATTGACTTTTAAAATGAGAACCGGGGGGGGTGAAGCGTGGGAGGGGGGAAGGGGTCCCCGTCACCCAAACCGAATATGCTAACGTAAGATGTGTGGTTATGTGATGTGTGATGTGATGTACGTAGAATAAAAGTGATGTACTTGGTACGCACCGTGACTAAGAATGCTTATTGGTAGGTGAATTGGGGTTGAAGCATAACGACTATGAGAGAATCACTGAGACTGCATTTAACCTCAGTCTAACACAGAGAAGAATTGTTTAAGGTGAGGATGAGTATTAGGTAATCAGTCCCTCAGCCTGGAGTCGATGTGATCAGTACATCAATCTTGAAAAGAATACAGCATGAGGTGAAGCAGTTGTAGGCGGTGTCACCTTGGACAAATCCACAGGTGGAAGTAGGTCGTGTCTATAGGTTAGGCTAGCGTAGAATCTCCTGACAGGAATGTATAGATAAATGGTTTTGAGAACCGACAAACTGATTAAATAAACACTTGGGTATCTTTACAGTAGAAATGTTTCGCCATCCAGTGGCTTGCTCAGTCCAAATCGGAGAATAATGATGGAAGACGAGGAGAAGTTTAATCAGATCCTCATCCTGGAGATGACGTGTTCAGTCCATCAGTCTTGATAAAAGTACAGGTGGAAGTAGGTCATGTGTATACGTGAGGCAGCCTAGAAAAATTCCCTGTATCAGGCTCCCAAGATGTTACTCCTGTTACTCCTCATTTTCCACCATTATTTTCTGTATTGGACTGAGGAAGCCACTGGCTGGCGAAACGTTTTCACAAAAAAAGATACACAAGTGTTGCATAAGCGTTTAATTCATCAATTTGTCGGTTTGATGAACCATTTATATAAGAATTCCTGGTTGTTGTATCACACTTTAAGACTGTTATACTTTTCTGTGTAAAAATCTACTGTTTATGGATTTATAACTTAAGTCAGATACAATGTCATGATAATTTACATTTCTGTTAATCATATCATTATAACATTGGTTCGGTTTGATCTGTTTTATTTATTGTTTACGATACAAGATAATTTTCCCCATCATAGTTCAGGGGACATCTCCGTGAGCTTAACACTTGTCTGTTGAGACCCAGTCTGTGTACATACCCAAGTGACATTTCTGTCTGTCGTAGACCTCCACAGTCTGGTACGTACCAAGTGATATCTCTTGTCTGTGTGTCTGTGAAACTCTCAGTCTGTGTACGTACGCATGTGACACAAAAACACTCGGTACCATGACGAAATGAACTCTGTACTTTATATTATTTGAAGAGATAAGAGATTTAGACTAAATGAGTGAGTGGGCGAGGGCTGCCAGCTGCTTGCCCACTCATCTTCCCCAGTGGAAATAAATGGTATAAAATACCGACACAATGGAAATATAAACACAAATGCAGTATAATGTGATCCTTTATTGACAACGTTTCACCCACACAGTGGGCTCTTTCAAGTCACACACGGATCTACCTGGGGTTGGAAGGTACGGGAGTATTTATAGTTCAGAATGTTGAGGTCACGTGGAGAATGTTGCATCTGATGATCTACCGGGTGGGGTTATAGAGTCTTGGGTAGCTAGGCGGGGATATTGGACAAGTTGTGAGTAGACCTTCTGCAGTGTTCTATGTTCTTATGTGGGATAGCGATGAAGAAGTTTCTTGGCGAGTGGTTCAGCTATGTTATAGAAGCCATTGTTCTGGTTGAAATTTTTGGTTATCATAACACAATTGTGAGTTAGAGTGTGTGTAATTAGTAGTTATTATTACAGGTGTGAGGGCAGGTGTTGGTTGTGTGCTGGTGTTGGCCACCTCTGTCACAGCCTTTCTTCCTGCACCACTACCAGGCCAGTACAATGGTAAGTCTAGTACCACTACCAGGCCAGTACAATGGTAAGTCTAGTACCACTACCAGGCCAGTACAATGGTAAGTCTAGTACCACTACCAGGCCAGTACAATGGTAAGTCTAGTACCACTACCAGGCCAGTACAATGGTAAGTCTAGTACCACTACCAGGCCAGTACAATGGTAAGTCTAGTACCACTACCAGGCCAGTACAATGGTAAGTCTAGTACCACTACCAGGCCAGTACAATGGTAAGTCTAGTACCACTACCAGGGCAGTACAATGGTAAGTCTAGTACCACTACCAGGCCAGTACAATGGTAAGTCTAGTACCACTACCAGGCCAGTACAATGGTAAGTCTAGTACCACTACCAGGCCAGTACAATGGTAAGTCTAGTACCACTACCAGGCCAGTACAATGGTAAGTCTAGTACCACTACCAGGCCAGTACAATGGTAAGTCTAGTACCACTACCAGATCAGTACAATGGTAAGTCTAGTGCCACTACAAGGCCAGTACAATGGTAAGTCTAGTACCACTACCAGGCCAGTACAATGGTAAGTCTAGTACCACTACCAGGCCAGTACATTGGTAAGTCTAGTACCACTACCAGGCCAGTACAATGATAAGTCTAGTACCACTACCAGGCCACTTTGTATTTTCATTCACTTAAAATCTCACCGAGGTCTCAACAGACGCCTCAGTATTTATAAATCCTTTGCCAAATGCTGCAGTTTCTTAGACAATAAAATGGGTTTAGCAGTCAAATTTATGTTGCAAGGGTGAACACACCCATGGTTCATTGCCATGAGGTGTTCATGAGCCAGTTTTGTGTTCTGTTCTCAGCGTTCTAACTTTAGTAAGAAGATCCTTGAATAGAAGAACCAGATACCATCCTGAGGAACACTGCTCACCTGAATGTTCACTTATTGTGTTCAATTCCACACCTTGCTGTTCATATGCTGTGTTTATCACAATATCACCTTACTTTAATATGTTCATACAGAGTGTTCATCACATCACTACGTTAATGTTTATATACAGTGTTCGTCACGAGTGAATACTAATGGTGTTAGGTATAACTGGAAAGGTAGGCAAATGCATTTCCAGTTTTCTGAGAAACAGAACACAGAGTAGTAGCAGTTAACAGAGCGAAATCCAGCGTTAGCAAAGTGAAAAGCTCAGGTCCTCAAGGCACCGTCCTGGCTCCTCTGCTGTTTCTCATATCAGACATATAAAAGCACCCGTCACAGTTTTCTATCATTTGCAAATGACACCTAAACAAACATAAAAATCACCTCGGCAGAGGAGACGAAGAGCTGTAGTAAGATTAAAACACAATCGTCCAGCGGCAGTGGAGAACAACATGACATTCACTGATATGTTCCAGCTGCTTGCATATGGAAAGAATGTGTGTGTGTGTGTGTGTGTGTACTCACCTAACTGTACTCATCTAATTGTGGTTGCAGGGGTCGAGACTCAGCTCCTGGCCTCGCCCCTTCACTGATCGCTACTAGGTCCTCTCTGCTTCCTGAGCTTTGTCATACCTCGTCTTAAAGCTATGTATGGTTCCTGCCTCTACTACATCACTTGCTAGACTATTCCACTTCCTCTCGACTCTATGACTGAAGAAACACTTCCTAACATCCCTGTGACTCGTCTGAGTCTTCAACTTCCAATTGTGACCCCTTGTTTCTGTGTCCCCGCTCTGGAACATCCTGTCTCTGTTCACCTTATCTATTCCATGCAGCATTTTGTATGTCGTTATCATGTCTCCCCTGACCCTCCTGTCCTCCAGTGTCGTCAGTCCGATTTCCCTCAACCATTCTTCGTAAGATATTCCCCTGAGCTCCGGAACTAGCCTTGTACTTTCTCTCATTTTTTGACGTGCTTGACCAGGTGTGGGTTCCAAACTGGTGCTGCATACTCCAGTATGGGCCTGACGTACACAGTGTACAGTGTCTTGAATGATTCCTTACGAAGGTATCGGAACGCTATTCTAAGATTTGCCAGGCGCCCATATGCTGCAGCAGTTATCTGGTTGATGTGTGCCTCCGGAGACATGCTCGGTGTTATGGTCACCCCAAGTTCTTTCTCCTTGAGCGAAGTTTGCAGTCTTTGTCCACCTAGCCTATACTCTGTCTGCGGTCTTCTTTGCCCTTCCCCAATCTTCAAGACTTTGCATTTGGCAGGGTTGAATTCGAGAAGCCAGTTGCTAGACCAAGTGTTCAGCCTGTCCAGGTCTCTTTGTAGTCCTGCCTGATCCTCATCTGATTTAACTCTTCTCATTAACTTCACATCATCTGCGAACAGGGACACTTGAGAGTCTATCCCTTCCATCATGTCATTCACATATATCAAAAATAGCACTGGTCCTAGGACTGACCCCTGTGGGACCCCGCTCGTCATCGCGTACCATGACTCATTGTTGCCTCCCTGTCAGGTATTCTCTGATCCATTGCAGTGCCCTTCCTGTTATACGCGCCTGATCCTCTAGCTTCTGCACTAATCTCTTGTGAGGAACTGTGTCGAAGGCCTTCTTGCAGTCCAAGAAGATGCAATCAACCCACCCCTCTCTCGTGTCTTCTGTTACCTTGTCTTAAAATTCCAGAAGGTTTGTGGCACAGGATTTGCCTTCCTTGAATCCGTGCTGGTTGGCGATTATAATCTTGTTCCGTTCCAGGTGCTCCACCACTCTCCTCCAGATAATATTCTCCATGACTTTGCACACTATACACGTCAGAGAAGTGTGTGTGTGTGTGTGTGTGTGTGTGTGTGTGTGTGTGTGTGTGTGTGTGTGTGTGTGTGTGTGTGTGTGTGTGTGTGTGTGTGTGTGCGTGCGTGCGTGTGTGTGTGTGTGTGTGTGTTGTGCCAAATAGGTAAAATTGGTTAATTAGCAAGAACTCATTTGAAATTAAGTCCTTTCTAACAATTTCTCTTATGCGTTTAAAGATGTATTTTTTTCAAATATGTTAATGTAAAAAATAATAATTTTGTACCAAAAGAACCTTAGAAAACATACCTAACCTTATTATAATAAGCGTAATTTAATTTAGCCTAATCCAACTAAATATATTTTAGATAAGTTTACAATAATTTAATAATAAACACAATGAAATATATTTTTTCGTTATGTTCAGAATGATTTTTGCAAAATTTTTGTATACACAAATTTTCGTTTGCCTTATTCGTCAAGAAGAGCATTGATAATTAAGCCAAAATAGCAAGTTTTACCTATTCGGCACGACATATGTATAAATATATAAATTACACTTTTATTGCTGTTGTTGATATATTACTATTATTATTGTTGCTGAAGATATTTATATAATTCAAAGGTACAATATATATCCCGTGTAAATGGAACTTAACATTAGTGTTTCCTGGTTTAATGAAATGATGTGATATTCTTTTAGAAGACGCCTTTTGGAAGAACTTCCCGTGTCCGGAAGACGCAGCCATTGCTCCCTGTATCTGCAGCTTCAGTGATAACTTCACCCTCACCTGCAGTGACCTGGACAGCAAAGAGCAGCTGGCGGAAATCTTCAAGGCAACTTTTCCCATCAATAGATTCGATTACTTTGTGTTGGAGAACTCAAACATTGGCCAGCTCCAAAAAGGTGTGTTCGGGGACATAGCCTTCAGGTGAGCACACTATAATATTCTCCTCTAACATGCTGAAATTAGACATTAACCAGGCTAGGTTATTGGTTGTGTTTCCTTGGGGTTCTACGTAAAGAGTTAAAATAACTCACGAAATCGTAATGACACGATTGCAAACATGCTAGTTGGCTCAGTGGCTAGCGCGTCGGTCTGGAGTTTTGTGGCTCTCTGATCGCGGGTTCTATCCCCACCCGTGATATGGTATGAGTCTACATATTCGCAAACTGAACGTGTTTCTGACGGCTCGCGAAAACGATTATACAAAAGTAAACAATTGTCAGAACGGTTGGGGGTCGAAACTATTACAAGCTAGTCGTAAAACTAGCTAGGCAGGTCAGCACACCGTCCTGTCCATCTCAGGACTGGCCATGCGAGAAGGGCATCCTTGTAGAGCAGCCTCTCTTCTCCACTACTGCATGCAAAAGAATCAGTACAGTGTGTGGTCTAATTTTCCGAGGCCAGTCAGAAAAGACATTGACGTGGGAACTCTCATGCAAATGACTTTAATAACGACGATAAACTGGCAATAATACAACCCTGAACGTTGTATACATGGTTTAGAACTAGACAAGATGATGACTGAGACACTTGTGAAACGTTCTCTGTAGATAAATTGGGCAAAACTTGGGTATCTTTAATGTGGAAACGTTTCGTCACACAGTGACTTTCTCAGCCCAATACGGAGAAGAATGTTGAAGATCAACACTCTTCTTTGTATTGGACTGATGAAGCCAATGGCTGGCGAAACGACTCCAGGTGTTTCGATTCGATCCTTCCCTTGCGGAAGCTACACACCGGTACAGAACCAACCTCTGGTTCACGGATACCAGCCAAAATACGCTGGTTCTTGATGTCTGAAGTTTTTCAGTTTCTGTAGTTGATGAAGTGTTAAGTCAGGGAAGCGAGACAGTCAGTCACAAGTCGAAGAAAGAAAAACTGTGCTTCGATTTTCCCCTATATCTTTAATAAAATAGCGATATAGGCCAATACGCGGCCCAAAATCAGTCCACATCTTTCTCTCAGTAAGATACATCAGCCTTTAAGGCTTCAAGTCGATCAAAAGAGGCATTTTTCAGTTAGCACAGAATCTAACAATTCCAAGTTTATTAACTTTGTTATAATAATAATAATAATAATAATAATAATAATAATAATAATAATAATAATAATAATAATAATGTTTATTTCTACAAGTACATGATACAACTTATACAGACCATAGCTAATATCATTGACATACTATATAGAAAGCCTCTGATTTTGCAGAGCATTTCGGGCAACTTAGGTTAATTTTGTCTCCAGGATGCGACCCACACCAGTCGAAAATGAATTAATGAACAGTAGATTTAGTTTTTATTTCATATAATCAATTAAATTACTTTTGAGGTATCAAGCCGCTCTTTCTGTTCAAAGATCATCTGATTCGTTATCTGGTAATAATTAAATATCTGTTGTGTTATTTATAAGGACGTTCAATTCAATTCAAGTTTATTCTCTATAAGGGTTACAATGTGGGGTTTACAGGTTTTGGGTATTGTGTGGTTTACATGTTATAAAATACTAATTACAGAGGGGGCCACTAGGACACCTAGCATGGCTAGGCATTTCGGGCAGACTTAGACTAATTCTTAACATTAAATCCTTACAGATTATGGTATTAAGGCTAAGTGACTACATCATAATTTGTGAGTTTAGCAATGTGAATGCTTTTGTTTTGGCACAATACAAGGTGTCTATATTTGAGTATCATAGGCAAACTTATGACTAGTTAGGATTTATTATTTTAAGATTAAGATTAGTATTTCTGGGTTTATAGTCAGTGGGTGAGTGAGTGTAATTGTGAACCACCAGGTGGTTATCATGTAGTTAATTGTTGGGGTGGATCAGGGAGATAAGATGTTTTCTAACTGTAGTTTTGAAGGTGATGAATGTGTCTGCAGTTCTAGAGTTTTCAGGTAGGGTGTTCCAGATTTTAGGTCCTTTGAAATACATTGAATTTTTGTAAAGGTTTAGTCGAACACGGGGAATGTCAGAGATGTTTGTGTCTGGTGTTATGCTTGTGGATCCTGTCACAACTATCAAGAAAGCTTTTTAGGTCAAGGTTAATATTGGAATTTAAGGTCCTGTAGATATAGATTGCACAGTAGTAAGTGTGGATGTTCTGAACAGGGAGTAAGTTTAGATCTATGAAGAGTGGGGGGGGGGGGTGTTGCCAGGGATGGGATTTAGTGATTATTCTTACTGCGGCTCTTTGTTGAGTTATTATTGGCTTGAGGTGTGATGCTGCAGTTGATCCCCAAGCACAGATAGCAATTATGATTTATCTCGGGATGAAAAACATAAATCTTTCTCATATGCTCAATTTGGGTAAATAATGAGTTGAGAGTTGAGTGACACTCCATCCCCAGAGCTTATAAAGACCTCCACACCCACACATAACTTCTGGATAGAGGTCAGGTTCCAAGGGTTATCCGGATGGTCTCCATACAGACTGGAGTCCCCTGAGAGAACTACAGTGTGAATATTAGTAACTAAAACTTATCTTCACAGGTAGGAACAGGAGACTCAGTCTTAGGCTGTCACGCTAAGAGACTGAACACTTGTTATGGTTAAAGGAGTGATTACCTTCTGTCAAGGATAAGTGACTGATCACCTATCAGGACTAAGAGGTTACATACTTCTAAAACGTATTCACCCACCACCCTGGTAAAATAACCCAATGTAGGAAGAGAACCTTTGACTGGATTGGGTGGTAGTCGACTAGTATGGGTCGCAAGGGGTGAGAAGATTGAAGGACCTCAATAATAATAATAATAATACTTTATTTCTACCAGTACATGTACAAGGTATACAGACCATAGCTGACATCAGTGACATACTACTATAAAGAAAGCCGCTTGTTATGCTGAGCATTTCCCGCAAATTAGGTCAGTTTTGTTCCAGGAAGCGACCCACACCAGTCCACTAACACCCAGGTACCCATTTTATACTGATGGGTGAATATGGACAGCAGGTATCTTATGTAAACACGACCCTAATGTTTTCCAACCGTACTGGGGATTCGAATTCCGGCCCTCAGTGTGTGAGCTGAGTGCGCTAAAGCCGTCGAGCTACGAGAGACAGTCCTCGATGACCTACTGACTTTCTTGGGTTATCCTGCGTGACTAACTCTCCGGGGTTAAAAATCCCAACAAAATCTTAGTTTATGGGACGGGGAGCTACGAACAACGACAAACACTAATAACCTACTTCTCCCTGATCTTGACAAGCGCGGTGATGCTGGACTCTAACAACCTGACTCTGATTGACGAAGAAGTGTTTGCTACCTCCTACAACTTCCTCAAACAGCTCTACATCTATGAGGACAACATGGGGGACGAGCTTGACTTCCCCATTAAGGACATTAATCAATTCACGAAACTGGAGGAAATCGATATTGTAAGTACCATGACGTACGTAAAAGTGTTATATAGCTTTACTGGTATTAAATATATACCTGAAAGCTAACATCCTTCCTCCTCATGTTTCAGTCTTATATCAGTAAGTAGTTACACGAGGCTTAGTTTCCTTGTATTATCTACCTGTGTTTGCTAGCAGTAAATAAGAATTTGGATGTTAGTGAGTTTATTCAGGTATACACAAATACAGTTACATAGATTATCATACATAACAGCATATGTGTAGAGAACCTGGGATAACCCAAAAAAAGTCAGAGTGACTTATTTCCATTGGGGTCCTTTAGTTAGTCTGCTTACATCTGTTGTCTCACTATATTTAACAGTAAATAGGTACCTGGTTATTCTGGTTACACCTGAGACTCCAGTTCACCTAGAAGTTAATACCTAACTAGATGTTAGTCTGCCCACGTTAACTAATGGTCTACACTGTACTAATGGTCAGAGGAAGATCGATAAATACAATTTATGTGGTTTGTTTATGGGATGAGTCCACAAGATATATTTTTAGCCATGTTAATGATGCTTCTCACCACCTGTATGCAGCACCTTAACTCCGTTACCTTTAGGAGTGCTGACCTTGATTATGTGTCGTTCTTCTCGGCAACAAGTAAAGCCTTGCAATAAATTGATGGCTATGACGGCCCCGTGGCCTGGTGGCTAAAGCTCTTGCTTCACAAGGCGAGAGCCTAGGTTCGATTCCTAGCGAGGGTAGAAACATTGGACGCGTTTCTTTGCACTTTCTATGTTCACCCATCAGTAAAATGGGTACCTGGGTGTTAGTGGACTGGTGTGGGTTGCATCCTGGGACAAAACTGACCTAATTTGCCCAAAATGCTCTGCATAACAAGGGACTTTCTATACAGTATATCACTGGTGTCAGATTAAAGTTACATTATCCATTTCTGAATCCTACTTATTGCCCAAGACCAAACCCATCCTAGTAGGAACTAGGTACCGCCCTCTCACTAATGATCAGTTCTTAGGAAACTTTTCTAGTCTTGTCCACAAGTGTCAAACTATAATACTGACAGACTTCAATATCTATTATCAACAACAAAATACCTGGCTATGTAACAGCTTTAAGCAAATTCTAGGATTAAATAGTTATACTTAACTAATGCACCAACCCGCATCTCACAGCTGTCAGCCACACACACACACACAGTCTGTCAGTCCCACAGGTCTTAGTGCACCAGGAAAATTATTAGGGAACTGATAGGCCTGCACAGAACACAAATTAGATCAAACAGAGAGTAGAGTAAAGAAACACAGGTAAGTAGGCTATACAGTTGTGACTGAACTGATAAGTTGGACGGAGATACATGATGCCTGGGAAGAATTTAGAACTATGTTCACTGCTATCCTTAATAATATTTCATCAGTTAAGAATAAGAATAAGATTTCGTTCGGATTTTTAACCCCGGAGGGTTAGCCACCCAGGATAACCCAAGAAAGTCAGTGCGTCATCGAGGACTGTCTAACTTATTTCCATTGGGGTCCTTAATCTTGTCCCCCAGGATGCGACCCACACCAGTCGACTAACACCCAGGTACCTATTTGCTGCTAGGTGAACAGGACAACAGGTGTAAGGAAACGTGTCGAAATGTTTCCACCCGCCGGGAATCGAACCCGGGCCCTCCGTGTGTGAAGTGGGAGCTTTAGCCACCAGGCCACCGGGCCACCTATAAATAACTTAGGATTAAACGAAGAACTACACCCTGGATAACCGCTGAGATATTAGATAATATTAAATTCAGGGATCAATTGCTGAAAAGGTTTATGTTAAGCGAGTAGGATGTTACAACACTTACTGAATTTCACAGAGTAAGGAAGAGTGTAGAGATTTATACAAGAAACTAAGGCAAGGCGCTAATACTTAAAAATCGAAGACAACAATCGCTGTCACCATTTATCGTAGGGGTTCTTAAATGGAGATATCGAGGGTTGAAGGTAGACACACTTGTTGGATGGTAACGATATATATTGTCAGACTGTGATGATGGGAAATGGAGGCCAGCCTCGGCCTGTCCTAGCCTATGTCTAACGCCGACTGAGAGAGTGGCAGAGGTACGAACGTACACATGCGCATCCCGTGACGTCACACAAACAGTCACAGGCCTAGGGATCTCCTATCTAAAGCACATGGATGATAAAAAATATGCTATATAACACAGGGATCAGCAACTATGCTGACAGAACAATCTTAGAAAGTTTTGGCAACAACAACACTGAAGTATAACCATATACCCGTAGATGGATCTAACATAGTTCTGAATATTCGTTACGAGGTATGTCATGAATTAAGTGGGAAATTGTTTCAATTAATTCTACACAAGTGTCGCATCAACATGAGTCAGTAAACTTCCGGGTTCATTAATTACCTTCAACACAGACTCCGGTAAGTTTAAAACTACAGTAATAAAGGCGTCACTCCAAACACTTACCAATTAGGTGTATCTTATGACTTCATGTGGAATTAACTAAGTTAAACCATCTAAGAGCACCGGTCCAGATAACATTCCGTCTAAGTTCCCAAAAGATGGCGCCTCTGAACTGTCTCTCCCCAGCGCTCGCATAATATATTTATCCATTACCACCAATACCGTGCTAGAGGGGCTCAAGGAGGCCAGAGTCACTCCCATCTCATATCAGGAATTATTGGCCTGTTAGTGATGCATAAGACACATGAACATCTCTTGAATGATAAACACTGTTAACATATCTTTATTTCTACCAGTACATGTACAAGGTATACAGATCATAGCTGACATCAGTGACATACTACTATATAGAAAGCCGCTTGTTATGCTGAGCATTTCCCTCAAATTAGGTCAGTTTTGTCCCAGGATGCGACCCACACCAGTCGACTAACACCCAGGTACCTACTTACTGCTTGGTGAACAGGGACAAGTGCAACATGCCCAGCATTTTCACTCATGCTGGTGATTGAACCACGGACACTCAACTTGCGAGGCGAGAGCGTTGCCAACCGAGCCACGGGAAGTGTATGTATATTTCCCCCAGGGCGAGTCGAACATATATTCATGTATATTGTTAACACAGAGTGGACCCTACAAGACGATAATTTCCCTGACGTTGCCTGAGCTGACATCAGCTAGACTGAGTCTTGACTTCATGAGCACCCTGCCAGCCACCACCTTCACTGGAGCTCCCAACCTGATCACTCTCACACTAGAGTCCTCACCCATCATAAACATTGAGCCAGACACCTTCAAGTGAGTATCTGTTTTTGTCTTCTGACGCTTTATTCATATTACTATTTTTCTCCCAATACTCTTCTAACACTAACACATCGCCCTTGAAAATCAGTCAGTTTTCACAACTGTCAGTTGCAGACGACTGAGATGAGATTCTTGTTGACAAAAATCGTAGTGCAGATTTTGTAAAAGATTTTGCAAGGTATTATTATATTAAGTAGATTCATTTTGTAGTCCTTAAAAGGAAAAAAAAATATATGCAAAAGAAAAAAAAGATTATTAATGAAAATTTTAAGCTTAAATCAAACACTATCAATAAAGCAACATACCCTAGAAGTCGCTTTGTGGTCAACCTGGCTCAGCATATTTGGTCAGACTCTCATTGATTTTCACGCTAGAGAAATCGCAAGAAATTTTCGGGTAGTTAAATACCTACTAATATGACATACATGACATCTCCAGTATGTCACTTGCTGCTGAGGACAGCCTGAGGCAGCACAGCCCGGAGTCTCCAGGCAGGTATTTTCATGTGGCAAGCAAAACAGGTAACAGCGTCACACCCTCGGGGATGCCAGCCATGAAACCAGCCCATATATTCTGTCCACCAGTACTGTTGTCCCACATTCCCTCCCCCCCCCCTATAAATTCACTTGTGTAGTTATTTTTACAATATTCAGGTCACTTACACATCTGGAGTCACTGGAGATATTATACGCTGACTTGTCGAACCTCGTTGAAAGCTCCTTCGCCTTCAACTCCGAAAACTTGACTTACGTTTATCTGTCTGAAAACAACATTCAAACCATCGAAGTTGGAGCCCTGGCAGGTGAGTCCTCTCTCTCAACGTTTTATCTTATACAGTTTGTGTTTGTACAAACATTTCATCTCAGGCTCCAGTGCTAACACCTACCTACCTACCTGGAGTCTAACTGGAGGGTGAAGAATGGAACATAAACGTTGAACAGGAGTTTCATTCTTCAACTAGTGTGTTTTCTAAGTCATTTTCTTCATACCTGGAAGGTGGTGTTCCGGGGGTCAACGCCCCCGCGGCTAGGACCTTCACCTCTAGTACACCGATAATAATTTTTCCTCCGATTATTTTAAAACAACAATCAAGGAGAAACAGATTCTAGTTGTAACCATTGGTCTTCAAGTATACATTATTAATTTGTAAGATGGTAAGCCCATGTTGGTCATTCACTGTAAGAAGTGGCGGACGCTGGATCCTTCGTCCGTCCGGTGAGCATCCTTGTGCGTCACTTAGCACCAGGAGTACTTTAGGGCTGTATTCTGCGCCCGCTAATAGATATACACAGAAAGGCCTAATTATACTTTCTTCTCTTTAAGGAACAACACAAATGATTATCTTGACATAAAAGTTTTAGATATCCCAGGTATACTTGGTGATTTGACGCATTGTATACCTGGAGTATACCTTGTGTTTCGGGGGGTCAACGCCCCCGCGGTCCCTGACCAACCTCGGACTGTGCGTGAAATTAATCATCTTCATTGTTTCAGTAAAATATAAACACTAGATAAATGAAAGTCGACGCAAAAATTCCATAAAGTTCACCCAAAATAAAACTCAGTCATGAAATTCACAAATAACTCGCACATCGACAGAACTTTAATAGTGACGTTTCGGTCCGACTTAGACCGAAACGTCAGGAAAACTTTCAGTCTCCATAGTGTAGCTTATTTGTGAATTGTTCCACTCATGGTATTGTAACTTTTTATTCTCCACGATAATCAAACTTTATCTGACTGAATCAATGTAGAATGTAAACAAGTTGGGAAAAACGAGTAAGAGGTCTAATACAGGAACATGAGTGACCTAGCAGCGTGACGCGGCGCGTCACGCTGCAGCGTGACTGAGAATCCCTGTCTCAGAGTAACGTGGCCTTCAGTAGAGTTGAGAGAATATTAGAAGAGTTGACTACCTAGTAAGGAAGATAGATGATGAATTAGACACATGTAGAACATCTGGGTATCTTTAAAATTTGAAGACGTTCCGTCATCCACTGGCTTTATCTATACAATACGTGGACATAATGTGAAGAATGTAGACATATACGCACAAGAAGGTGGAAGATAAGAGTGCATCTCATCACCCCCTCGTCTTGCTTCCTCAGCGTCCTTTCTAAGAACGTCAACACAAGGCTGAGGGAACAGCAACAGGCCCCACAGCTTGCTGCTAAGATTAGATAGCTTCTCTTATACCTGTTGTAGTTTTATAGCAAAATCGTTTAAAATATTACAAAAAAAAGAAGAAAAAAACTCACTGCATCAACTACTCCCACTATGAAACCAGTCACTACAAAAGGCATATTTAAGTGCCTTAGCATTCTTCCAAATTTAACCTCACCTACAGGGCACTCACACATTCAACTTTCGCAGCCAAAGTTAAAAAGTCTTTCACAAAAACTCATTAACTTTTTGGGAAACCCCCAGACAGTAGTACCCCAGCTTGTGTCTCCCAGAGAAAGTTGTCTGCCAGTTTACCACGAGCAGGAAGGCTGCAACTTGATTACAATCTATTTAGAGTGTAGCACAAAAACCAAAGTGCGTCGCAGGTAGCAATTTCAAGGCTTGTTGTATCTGGCTATAACTTAAGGCTCCAGACAAGGAACAACCCAGATAATCAGAGACAAACACAGAGGGAGTAGTTTTTCTTTACCCGTACATTCCTTCAAGATATGTATGGTATTTACATAGTTAAATCAGCAATATAACAATAATAAGCCAGAGAGCAGTGAGTTAAACAAAACATACCACGGGTGGGGTTAGAACCCGCGATCAGAAAGTCTCAAAACTCCAGTTTTGAGACTCTCTGATCGCGTGGTATGGTTTGTTTGCAATCGTGTCATTACGATTGCCTGAGTCAGCAATGAGTCAGTCAGAACAATAGGTTTACACCTCAGAATAAACAAGAGAGTATGATACACTGTTTCAACAAGTCTTGCCGCAGTAGTGTCAGTGGATCTACCAGTGGTTGTTGTTGGGACATTGACTTACGTGTTGGTGGAGAGGGTATGTACTGATATGTACTTGTTACGCCGTAACAGGCGGAACAAGTGTTGTATAACATACGTCAAATTTGGGATGGCATTGGATATACCAGTAAGAATTTGATGTTACATGCAGTGACGTTACATGCAGTGACTGGCTGTGATACAGTGTCTGCACTTTATCTTGGTGGCAAGCGGAAAGCTTTTAACACAGTTCACTGAAGATTGCCACATAAACCACGGTACAGGTGGGGATTGAACTTGCGGCTAGCGAGTCGTTAAAATCCAGACCGGCTCGTTAGCCACTGGGTCAACATTCACAAAGCCTGGAAACACGATGAGGTGAAAGATGTAAGAGAAATGTCTCTTAAACTGTATGCCGCTGGGACCTTCAGAACAGTAAATGGGAAATCCTCGGCTGACAACAGAACGGAACTGAAAATCATGAACTGACACCTTCATACCAGTAGAAACAACTTCCTGTTGCCTCTGACAACATAGTTTCACGTAGTTGCAGAGCTGATGGTTGTGGTATGTCGTGTTTTGCACATCATTCCGCAGTAAGTGCAAGTCAAACCTGCAACAATACTGCACATGGTGAGGAAGAAACTGCAATAACATTATTGGATATTGATAATGATATTCATCATACCCATGATGCACCAGAATACTAAAACATTGTATCTTTGCCATATATATTTTATGATAACAGTTACATGATGAATTTCCATTATAAATCTTTATTGTTCATATATATTATACTTTATTTTCACTTCATTCATTTTGGAAAGTCATATAAGCCACCATATGATTTTTATCGTATCACTGAATAAATGATTTCATTAGATGGGTTGTGTCTGAAGACCTGTGGTCAGACATTTGCATCACATTTCTGTTATGTCTGAATGAAAAAGACATGAATAAAGGACAGCAGCCAGGCTGCTAGGACAAGAACTGAAGTTAGTGGGAACTTGTATGCTTGACTCACGAAATCGTAATGACACGATTGCAAACAAAGGGCTGGAGTTTTGAGACTCTGACCGCAGGTTCAATCCCAGCCGGGGTATGGTTTGTTTAACTTGTATGCTTTTTGTAATATTCTTACTGATCTTTCCCGAAAATTCCAGCTTGTTACTTTTTTGTTAGTTTTCAGGACTTTTCTGAGCTACTTCAGATAATTAATCTCACGTGTGATCTCGCAGGCATACACGGCGAGGCAGAGCTCGACCTGTCCTCCAACCTACTCGAAGAGCTTCAAGAAGGAGTCTTCATTCCAGTCGTCAAAGAGCTGACGAGCGGACACATCAACCTGGCAGAAAATCCTCTCTTGTGTGGCTGTGACCTTCTCTGGATTGCCTCTCTTTCTGGTATGCTGTTAATAATAATAATCTTTATTTCTACAAGTATATGATACAATTATACAGACCATAGCTGACATCACTGAGAAACTATATAGAAAGCCCCTGGTTATGCAGGGCATTTCAGGCAACTTTAATTAATTTTGTCCCAAGGATGCGACCCACACCACTCTAGTAACAACCAGGTACCTACTTGTTGCTAGGTGAACAGGAACAGCAGTTGTCCCCATACCGGGTCGAGCCACGGACACTCACTATGTGAGCTGAGTGTGTTGACAACCACCTTTCATTGAAAATGTATAATTGTTAGTATTGTTGCTGTTGGAATTGGATTCGATAGGGAGGTTAACATTATTTTTCCAAAGAAGGAGAGCATAACTCCAATTTTGTGGCATCAAAAGTCCTACAACAAACTGAAGGGCACAACCGTCCCCCCCCCCCCGGTCCCTCCTCTAAGAGTTCGTGTGTGGGTTACTATGACAACTACATATCAGGCACTTTCATACATAGGCATCCTGTGATCTTCATTCTGACGATCATGTCCTCTTCACATTAGTATTATCGTATCACCTTCCTATTAGAGATACTGAGTTACCACCTGTTAGGCTCGCCTCTCTCAGCCTGGCAGCAACCACCACTGGGATAACAGAAGCCTCTTACTGGCAATCGTTGCAAGATGCTCTAAGTGCAAAAAGTGCTATTAATTCTTCAAAGCAAAACTAAGTTCTACTGAAGCTCAAGGACTAAATGAAGGTACAGTAAGACTTTGGAATTACCTGTGTGTTGGTGCGTGTTATAACTGACAGTATCGACTGTGTATCCAGAATCTCCTACAGGTTAACATTACAGAGTGCATATCTTGATGAGGGTGTCACGTTAGTCTCAACCTGGATTTAGCTTATAGTCATAACCTTAATATTTAAAGGGGTGGACTGGTAAGCCAGTGGAAGGCCTCCGTCAGAGGACCAAAAGCTCCAGCTACGAGTCATATGACTAAGACCCGCGACAAGACGCACTTGTCCCGTTTCCAGACAAACTTTACCAAACCTAACCTGGACTTGTGCAACTCTGGAAGTCCAGTCTGGAAGCATGAGGCTATATCCTCAGCATCGACTATCTCACGATATTCATAACCATAACTCAATATCATCAAGAACTGAAGTCGCAGCCTCGACTAAGTATATACAAAACAATGTTGCCCAACTCGAAATCTTGACATGAAAAACATTTCCAAAACACATGGGAGGCTGACTCTTCCTAGAGGATGTAAAATGACTCATCTTCCCCCAGCTGTAAAATGTCACAAGTCTATATAGAATATAGCTACATAACTGCACAATAGTTATACAACTGACAGGGTTCCCAATCACTCTTCATGTGGACTACGAAATGTTAGCAAAGTTCCAATACTAAATCTCATGACTGGAATTACTGTTGGTTGTAGCCTCCAGTGTGAGACTTCCTGAGTTCCTCCCGAGTCCATCGCAAGATTTCCAGAGTCCCTCACAAGAGTAGCACTCGCGGCTGGCCGAACCATTCAAAACAAAGACAGTGTCGACACAAGTTGCAAGAGATGAGATTAACGAGTAAGTCCACACTACAACATTTATGTTGTCCCAACACAGACTTTGTCCAGTAACAGACATGCAGGAGCTATGTCCAGTAATGATCCAAAATATATGTTTTATAACGTGGCCTGCCGGTGCTGTGCCGAACAATGACCCCCAGAAATAGTCAACAAACTGCCCCTTCCTTATCATCCCTCCTTTACTGCCTCTCCCTTACTGATTCTCCCTAACTGCTCCTCTCTTACTATCCCTCCCTCACTGCTCCTTTTTTGCTATTTCTCCTTTACTATCCCTCCCTTACTATCCCTACCTTACTATCCCTCCCTTACCATCCCTCCCTTACCATCCCTCCCTTACCATCCCTCTCTTACTGTCCCTCTCTTACTGTCCCTCCCGTATTGTCCCTCACTGTCCCTCCCTCACTGCCCCTCCCTCACTGCCCCTCCCTCACTTCACTTCTCTGTGTTGCAGATGAGGAGAAGCAGCGTCTACAAGGTGTGGCCAAGTCTTGCAACATAAACACTGAAGACTACGACATGGACACCCTTCTGGACTTCCTGGTGTACCAGTGTTCCACGCACACTCCTGGCTCTCCTCAAATGTAACCACCTCATGACTTTCCTGCAAGGAGAGGATGGCTACAGATACTTAGTACAAGAGCCTTTCGTGTACGAACAAGGCACACACAGTGAAGAGTTATGAAGGTAATGTATCATCTGAGTAACGAGTCAGTTGGTGGACGAACAATTAAAACAAGATAATGATGAGTGTGAGAACTCACCTTGTTGAGTCCCACGTATGTAACTTTCTTACGCTCTTTCCGAGCGTTTGTTTCCTTCAGTAATATATACATGATATACTTCACCAGTGATGTTTGACCACAAAATAAAGTTTATGGAGATCAGAGGTGTACTTTATTACCCGCTTCTGGAGGATCAGAAGTGCCAGAACATATTATATTCTTCTGTGTCATCTTATTTATTATCATTATTACTAATTACATTATATATATATATATATATATATATATATATATATATATATATATATATAATATATATATATATAATAATATATGTCGTGCCGAATAGGCAGAACTTGCGATCTTGGCTTAAATAGCAACGCTCATCTTGCCATATATGACAAGTGAAAATTTGTGTATGCAATAATTTCGCCAAAATCATTCTGAACCTAACGAAAAAAATATATTTCACTGTGTTTGTTTAGTATTAAATTATTGTAAACGAATCTAAAATATATTAAGTTGGGTTAGGCTAAAATAAATTGTTCTTGTTATAATAAGGTTAGGTAAGTTTTCTAAGATTCTTTTTGAGCAAAATTAAAATTTTTTTACATTAACATTAATGAAAAAAATATATCTTTAAACGTATAAGAGAAAATTTTAGAAAAGACTTAATTTTAAATGAGTTCTTGCTAATTGACCAGTTTTACATATTCGGCACGACATACATATATAATATATATATATATATATATATATATATATATATAATATATATATATATATATATATATATATATATATATATATATATAATATATATATATATATGGTGGCAAAAGCTCCCGCTTCACACACGGAGGGCCCGGGTTCGATTCCCGGCGGGTGGAAACATTTCGACACGTTTCCTTACACCTATTGTCAGGGCCGGATTAAGAAGTCTCCGGGCCCTAGGCTATTCAGATTGGCGGGGTCCCTTTGAGTTACGGGTAAGCGAAGCGACCCCTTCCAACTTGGGGGGGGGGAGGTCGGTGTGAGCCTGTTTAAGGTCTAATTAAATACATTCTGGCTATTTAGATTAAATTTAATAGGGAAAGTACATAAAGACAACCAAAACCATTTACCAACAGCCATTATAACTATCTTGTTAAATCATGCATTTTAAAGAGAATAAACTCAAGACAGCATAGTATTACTAGATTAGGCTATTAAAGTAGTGACATCATGTACCTATTATATTCAGCATAACCACTACAGCACTACTATTCCCTTTATAAATCACTGACCATTATTGTTATCATTGCATCATGCATAAGACTATCAAATCATATAAACTCAAGAAAGTAAAGAATTGTTTATATTCGCAGGCACTTCTTAAATAAACTTTTTTCTGGATTTCATATTGGCAAAATCATCAATTATATTCTGAAAATCAATATTTCTTGTTAGATCAGACTCAATGGTCAACAAGGCTAGGTTACACAATTTGTCTTGGCTCATTGTTGAACGGAGCTGGTTTTTCACTCTTTTCAAAACAGAAAATGAAACGTTCTCCTTCACAGTTAGTAGCTGGAAGTGTTAGGTAAAGGCGATACACTATGTCAACATTAGGGAAGGTTTTCTGAGATACCTGCATTTCTTAAATGTTTCAAAGCAGCTGAGGGCGCACATTTTTCAGGTGGAGCTTTAATCTGATTCATATACCCAGAAAAATGAACTATTTCTTCAAACAAATGTGTCCTGAACATCTGCTGAAAGGTGTTGTTGCAACTTTAATGCAGCTTCTCTCAATTCTGCATCTGGCATAGTAGTAATTTTGAACAGAAATCCCAAACTTGTCATTAAGATTCTGGTAGATTTCTTTTCTTTTCACCAATTCTGTAATCAGTGAATCCAGAATGACGAAGTATGTAGCTGTCTTACATTTCTGCCTTGTAGCAACACAATTTCATTGTCTGGCTCTTCAAAATTGCGTTTCCTCTTCCTTGACCGCTGATGATCAGCCCGGTAACTGTAGTCTTTCAACCAGCAGTTTAGCTTTCTCTTCAAACATTTCAAAAGCTTCATCATTGCGAAGTGAGCTTACAAATTCCACTAAGCCTGCATAGAGGTTAGCACAAGTAGCCATTTCAATTTCAATTTTCTGAAGTGTCTTGTTCGTGGCATTTAACCGTTTCCAGTATACAGTCCCAAAGCACACAGAGTAAGGCCAATTCAAAATCTTCCAATTTGATGCTAAGGCTGGCTGCTTCGCTTTCTTGTAGTTGCTGTCTGGTCTTCATCCTCTGCTATTTGGATCAAAGCAGAACGTATTTCAGCAAAGCTGTCTTTCAAAGCAATTTTGTTGCATCATGCTGCGCTGACCACCTTGTTGTTGATGATGATTTTTATAACATTCCATGAATGGTTGACTTGGGGTATACTCCACCGATGCGTTGAAGCAGAGAAAAAAATTAAAGAGTGCTTGTAAAAGTCCAAAAAATGAAACTGCAGCGACACAACACTCCGCAGCACATGACCCAACAAGATTAAGAGAATGTGCTGAGCAGGGCACATATTCAGCTTGATACGGGCTTGCAATCCATTATATTTACCCGACATGTTACTTGCATTGTCGTAGCTCTGGCCACGGCAATCCATAATAGAGAGATCATGTTCAAGCAGAGTATCCAGTACTACATTCATCATTGTTTCTCCATCATGGCCTGAAAGAGGAATGAATTTTATAAAGCGCTCTACAGGCTTACCACTGGAGTCGACAAAGCGAACAATGAATGTCAACTGATCTGTATGTGTGTTAGGTAAGACACATATGCAACAGTTAGGTATCTTTATTTTGAAACGTTTCGCCTACACAGTAGGCTTCTTCAGTCGAGTACAGAAAAGTTGATAGAAGCAGAAGATACTTGAATACGATGTAATCAGTCCATCACCCTTAAAGTTTTGAGGTAGTCAGTCCCTCAGTCTGGAGAAGAGCATTGTTCCGTTGTCTGAAACAATATGAAGTTGAAGTGACAGAATCGGGCCTTATATAGTGCCAGGAGGTGAGACGTAGGTTGATTTGGGAGGGCAGGTCCCTCTCAAACCCAGCCGTTCTCACTAGTAGAGGTTGTCGAAGTAGATGGTCTGTACCAAGATACCCTTGTGTTGCAGTGTCTGACAGAATGAACATTAAAATGGTATAAAATACCGACAGATTGTTAGGTAAGACACATATGCAACAGTTAGGTATCTTTATTTTGAAACGTTTCGCCTACACAGTAGGCTTCTTCAGTCGAGTACAGAAAAGTTGATAGAAGCAGAAGATACTTGAATACGATGTAATCAGTCCATCACCCTTAAAGTTTTGAGGTAGTCAGTCCCTCAGTCTGGAGAAGAGCATTGTTCCGTTGTCTGAAACAATATGAAGTTGAAATGACAGAATCGGGCCTTATATAGTGCCAGGAGGTGGAGACGTAGGTTGATTTGGGAGGGCAGGTCCCTCTCAAACCCAGCCGTTCTCACTAGTAGAGGTTGTCGAAGTAGATGGTCTGTACCAAGATACCCTTGTGTTGCAGTGTCTGACAGAATGAACATTTAAAATGGTATAAAATAACCGACAGATTGTTAGGTAAGACACATATGCAACAGTTAGGTATCTTTATTTTGAAACGTTTCGCCTACACAGTAGGCTTCTTCAGTCGAGTACAGAAAAGTTGATAGAAGCAGAAGATACTTGAATACGATGTAATCAGTCCATCACCCTTAAAGTTTTGAGGTAGTCAGTCCCTCAGTCTGGAGAAGAGCATTGTTCCGTTGTCTGAAACAATATGAAGTTGAAGTGACAGAATCGGGCCTTATATAGTGCCAGGAGGTGAGGACGTAGGTTGATTTGGGAGGGCAGGTCCCTCTCAAACCCAGCCGTTCTCACTAGTAGAGGTTGTCGAAGTAGATGGTCTGTACCAAGATACCCTTGTGTTGCAGTGTCTGACAGAATGAACATTAAAATGGTATAAAATACCGACAGATTGTTAGGTAAGACACATATGCAACAGTTAGGTATCTTTATTTTGAAACGTTTCGCCCACACAGTAGGCTTCTTCAGTCGAGTACAGAAAAGTTGATAGAAGCAGAAGATACTTGAATACGATGTAATCAGTCCATCACCCTTAAAGTTTTGAGGTAGTCAGTCCCTCAGTCTGGAGAAGAGCATTGTTCGTTGTCTGAAACAATATGAAGTTGAAGTGACAGAATCGGGCCTTATATAGTGCCAGGAGGTGAGACGTAGGTTGATTTGGGAGGGCAGGTCCCTCTCAAACCCAGCCGTTCTCACTAGTAGAGGTTGTCGAGTAGATGGTCTGTACCAAGATACCCTTGTGTTGCAGTGTCTGACAGAATGAACATTAAAATGGTATAAAATACCGACAGATTGAAGAAGCCTACTGTGTAGGCGAAACGTTTCAAAATAAAGATACCTAACTGTTGCATATGTGTCTTACCTAACAATCTGTCGGTTATTTATACATTTTAATGTTCATTCTGTCAGGGCACTGCAACACAAGGGTTATCTTGGTACAGACCATCTACTCGACAACCTCTACTAGTGAGAACGGCTGGGTTTGAGAGGGACCTTGCCCTCCCAAATCAACCTACGTCTCACCTCTGGCACTATATAAGGCCCGATTCTGTCACTTCAAAATTCATATTGTTTCAGACAACGGAACAATGCTCTTTTTCCAGACTGAGGGACTGACTACCTCAAAACTTTAAGGGTGATGGACTGATTACATCGTATTCAAGTATCTTCTGCTTCTATCAACTTTCTGTACTCGACTGAAGAAGCCTACTGTGTAGCGAAACGTTTCAAAATAAAGATACCTAACTGTTGCATATGTGCTTACCTAACAATCTGTCGGTATTTTATACCATTTTAATGTTCATTCTGTCAGACACTGCAACACAAGGGTATCTTGGTACAGACCATTTACTTCGACAACCTCTACTAGTGAGAACGGCTGGGTTTGAGAGGGACCTGCCCTCCCAAATCAACTACGTCTCACCTCCTGGCACTATATAAGGCCCGATTCTGTCACTTCAACTTCATATTGTTTCAGACAACGGAACAATGTCTTCTCCAGACTGAGGACTGACTACCTCAAAACTTTAAGGGTGATGGAACTGAT